TGCTGCAATGGCTGAGAGAAAAGCGCGGGCGGCACTCTATCCAGGGCAATGTCCTTGGCAATGTTATCCGATAGCACATTGCACGGATGCAACGCATGGCTTTTCAACGCGCAGCAATGAGAGCTGCCCCTTGCACTGGGCAGCGTGGAAGGCAGTAGAAGCGAGCCTCGCCAACAGGTTGTGCTCATGAATCGCGGCATCTCCTAAGGCCAAATGTATGGCCGATTGAGAATCCGACCAAATCTCAACTGGGTGATCAGCCCCCCTGGCCAGTTCTGCGACGACGCGCACGCATGTCCGCAGAATGGCAAGTAGTTCGACACCAGTGCTATCAAGTTTCTGACGAAGGGGTTCGACAAAGCAACTGCAATTCCATGTGGCTCCCCAGTAGCCCGCAAAAGCAATGTCTCCAGAGTTGAAGGAGCACGCTCGAACCGCAGCCCACGCAGCAGCACGGTTGCCCTCACCCCCAGGTCCAAGGTGGTTGGGCCCATCAACGAAGAACGCGGGCGCAACAGGTTCTTGACTTACGAGGGGGGGGGGGGGGGGGCACATCGACAGTGCAATCCGAGCAGGGCCCCCCGAGTCATCGGGGCGGACAGACAGGCAAGCGCCAGTGGAACAGGGTGGCCTCCTGAGCAAGTTGCCGCAGAGTTGGGCCCTGCGGCAGAGGAACGCCGATGCGGGTGCCACTCGTGGCCCCAGGGGTGGAATGAAAGCCAGGATTCGCCGTGACTTCATCCGCCTCAAGAGGGGGGGCTGGAGAAAGGGGAAGCACGGGTGACCCATCACCAAATAGGTCTGCCTTCGCGGAAGACTCTCTCAGCATGGGCGATCCCAGACTACAGCCACCCTGCGAATGACTAGGTAGGTGGGCAGGCGAATTCACTGAAACACACAATGACAATGGTGGCCTTTTGTCATGCAGCGCGCTGCCCGGCACCGCGGAGAGGGGCGCGCAAGCAACAGACGGTTGCGGAGCAGCCTGAGAAGGGCGCGCCTGCAGCTGACCCTGTCTAGCACCCCTGCTAGACGCTGTCGGCTCGTAAAAGAAGCATAAGGTAGCAGGCTCGATCAGTCGCTTGCCCTCAACATGAGCAGGCGCACAAAGTTGGCCCCGAGGCAAGCCCCCTCTCGAGGTCGCATCAAATGACGTATATGATTCCGTGGGCAAGTCCAGGCCATCTCCCCCCTTGATGCTCCAAGGTGCAGGGGTGGCCCGCAGCCCTTGCGCGTCGCGGCCGACATGGGCACCTGCTGAATTGTGACTCGCCAGCTCGGTGCTGAGACCATTCTCACCACCTCCTAGTGAGGGTGCAAAACGAAACTTGGCTTTGGTCGGGTTCCTGAGAACCGCCTTTAGCCTGGCGGACCCGTGCACATGGACTGGGGCCAGAGGCCCATCCGCCACCTAGTATTCCCTCAGCGCAGCGTGACCCCATGCGACTCTAGGCGCTGCTGCTTTGGGGGGGGGATTGATCGGCGACCCCCTTCTTGTTTGCACGCCTGGTCGATCTGTTCCGTGAGTAGCTGCGCCTGGGGCGCCGTCAACTCAGAATCCACATCGATGATGCTCGCGGCGCTGGACGTCGGTCCAGGCATCTGCCCCGACTGAGCGAACATCGGCTGAGTGGGAGAAATTGGATGCAAGCTGGTCGGCGGCGGCACTTCTGCAGGCGAGGTCGGCTCGAAAAGCCAATCCTGGAAGTCCGCGCTCTCGGCTTCCTTGTCCAGTGGCGTAGGACAGCCTCCACTGGGCGTCTTGGCCACTGGAGTCGCAGGTGAGGGCTGCGCATTGAGAACGCTCGGCGAACGGGGGGCGCCCCCAGCCCCCTTGGTGAAAAACTGCGCCTCCCGAGGACGATCCAGCTGGTTGCCCTTGATTGCCGCGCTGTAATAAAGTAGATGGCGCCGCCGAACACCCCACTGATATCTGATACGCGCCCATCTGGGCTGACTCGGCTTGCCGAGGCTGCGCCTGCTGATGGGCAGACGCGTGTAGCGCGGTGAAAGCGTGCACCATATGTCATAGAATTAGCTCCGGCTCGTTCTGACGATTGGCCATTCCAATGAGAAGCCCCCGTAGCTTTTGCAGCTAGGCATCTGCATGCGGCGGGGGAGGCGCATGCTCGGCTGGCACGCGCGAGGGTGGGAGGGGTGGTGCAGGATGCTGAGCTGGCTGCGCTGCTGCATGCGACTTCTGAGCCAACAGGGACGCAGGCGTCATGGGAGGCGGTGGCCCAAGCGGTGGTCCCCATTGGGGGGGATGAGCACCTTGTTGAGGCGCTTGGCCCATGTCCCGATCTTCTTCTGACAGCATCTGCAGAATCTCCTCCATACATATTGTGAGCTGGGCAATTTCGTTCGTGCTCTCCGTCCCTAACGCCTCTAGTTCCTTGATGCGTGATTGGGTGGTACGAAGGCTCTCCTGCGCTTTGTCCAACCGGTCTCGAAATTATCCTAACTGCTGTATGAGGGTAGTAGACCATGAACCATACACTTGAGGACTGCAATCTTCTTGTCGAGTAGTTCTGCCAAGTGGTGCTCTGGCACGCCTGGCCGTGGGTGCAAGATACGCTAAATCGAAGAGTTGTTTCCTGAGCTTCCCATCTGAAGGAGTGAGTGCCCCCATATGGCGCCGATCTGAAAGTCGGTTCCGCAGACGTTTTTTCCTTGGTCATCGGTGGAATCTTGGCCACATATACACGAACTTCTTTGTCGCTGAACACTGGAAGATGCTGCTGCCTGGCTCTGTATCGTGACTGGCGACTGTGATGCCCGTTGGACTGACGTGAGTATCTGCAATTTCGCTGAGGCTGTTGATCCGAAAAGAACTGACCACAGAATTACCTGGCATGATGACGAACGAGCCTTCCGCATTTTTGCCAGTCCCATTGAGGAATCCAGTTTGACGTAAGGCTTGTAGAGCCGACCATTGGGCCTCCGAGGACTGATGATGGCTGCCGTTGTGCCGAATGATGGGCCTGCAGCCTGGCGCACGCTTGGTGAATGCGAACGCGAGTCATGGCCTTCGAGCGCTGCCCTAGCACGCCTGTGCCAAGCCGCCTCGGCTTGAGCCTCCTCCTCCTCCTCCTGAACTTCCCCGCCATCCTCCCCCAAGTGTTCCCCGCAGGGCTTCCACAACAGCTGGGGAAGCATATGGTCCGATAGCTTGGCGGAGCTCTGGCCACAATGTTCGGCCCCATGGGCGATTCCGAAAGGCAGGGGGCGGCAGTGATTCGCCGTAGGCGTCTTCGATACTTCGCTCGGAGTAGCGACCGACGTCACCCAGAGTAGCAGGTGAGCAGAGTGCGGACAGGATACTGAGTTCACTCGCCGCGCGGGTTCAACAGATGCCACACGGTCTTCCACCGCTGGCGAGCAATAGCGGATTCGAGCAACAGTTCAGCCCAAGCAGAGGCCCCACCAGCAGCACACGGCAGCCAGTTTGTTGACCTGTGCAGACTCCGGGGCCAGCCCCAGGTGTTCAGGTCTTGAGTGCGTAGGCTGTCACGGCCATCCTTATCCGAACCAGTTGAGCTAACCATGATACCAGAACCCTTCTGTCGTGGTCGCATCTGAAGGCAAGCAGACCATGGCCCCGCCCAACCCACTCCGGGTCAAATTGACGCCGAAATTCTGAACTTAAAACGCTGCACCAAAACTCGTGTAACGCAAGCTCCTCCCGAAACGCCACCCACCAAAACGTCTTCCCAATCCGCGCAAATCGTAGAACGCGCAGGGCTGCAAAGGATCCGACGACAAATGCCGACAGGCGCTAACTCGAACGATTCGAAGAGCCAGTCTCTGGGAATGGCGCGTCAAAGTGCACGCCTTCGAGAGATGCAAAGCGAGGTGCCGGCCAAGCAGTAGAAGACGAGGAAACCGAGACTGTCGCAGCACGAAATGAAGCCATGACTCGACAGCTCGGCGCTAAGAAACAGGATGCAGCGAGTCCTCCTTCGCCGCCTCCACCTCCTCCTCCTCCTCCTCCCTGATCCTCCCCCTTTGCTCGCCATCCTCCCCATCCTCCTCTACCTCCTCCTCCTCCTCCTCCTCCTCCTCCTCCTCCTCCTCCTCCTCCTCTTTTTCCTCCTCTCCTACTCCTCCTCCTTGAACCCCTCTTGTCTTGGAGAACAAGCAATTACATAAATATTAAAACTCGGAGGTCCGCGCAGATTCCTCGGGTCAGCGCCTGGGCCCCCCTGGCGGCGCCTCCGCGCGCCAGTCAGGGAGATCCAGCGCAGATCCACGAAATCCACGCGGACCATCAACAGTGTGTGTGTGCCATTCTCCCTTCCTCTAGAACTCGGTCGGTCGGTCGCTCGGCCAAGATCGCGCATTCGCATTGTTTGTTGCTCTCGTGTCCTCCTGCCCGAGAATGGAAACAAATTGACGAGATCAAAACAAACGATGAATTGTTTTTAAAACGACTTGTCCTCCTACCCCCTCCTGAACCCAAAAAGAGCCACATCCTCCGCTACCTCCTCCTCCTCCTCCTCCTCCTCCTCCTCTAAGACGAAGGCAGAATCGAGACAAAATCGGACCGATATAAGTCAAACATCTCTGAGAGTCGGCGGGTCTGGATGATGTCTCGGGTGAAGCGGCCGTCTCAGAGCATTCCGGAACGCTCGGAGAACGTTCTGGAACGCTCTGGACCGATTATCATCTCAGTTTGAGGTATGCCCCCTCCTCCTCCTTCTCCTACTCTTCCTCCTCCTCCTCCTCCTCCTCCTCCTCCTCCTCCTCCTCCTCGCTTTCCTCCTCCTCCTCCTCTTCTTCTTCTTCTTCTTCTTCCTCCTCCTCCTCCTCCTCCTCCTCCTCCTCCTCCGTAACCATTTTGGCTCAAGGAGCAATTTCCAGGACTCCAGGATTCCTTCGTGGCAGCGCACTTGGAAGTGGCGCAGCTGCCGCGAGCCACGACACTCTGCCCACCCCGTCGATGCCTGCCCGAGGAGGTGTAGGTGTCGCGCCCCCGCTCAAGCAGCGGCGGCGGCGCAATGGTCGATGTGGAGGGCATCAGAATCGAGGCTGGTGCACTCAGTACCAGCAGTGCGGGAAGAAGGCTCCGCCGTGGGCCACGGAGCGCCAGAGCTTGCAGCCGAGCGAAGTGCCGCATCCGAAGCCGAAGGGCCGCTGGGGCGAGGGGCCTCCGCTGATACCGGTGGCCGAGGAGGCCGCCATCACGCAGGCCAAGCGCGAGCTGCGGGCGGAGCTTCTGCAAGACCCCAGCAAGCATGGCCTCTCGGCGGACCAGGCGCAATTTGTCCTTGCGTCCTTGGCCCCGCCGAGCCAGGATGCAGGCATGGAGCCCGCGAGGGCGGACCTGGCTACGAAGTCGTTGCAGGATCTGCACCAGCGGAAGGCGAAGACGGAGAAACAGCTCGAGCGGACGCAGGAGCGTCGGGCTGCGGCGCAGGCGGCGCTGGAGGCCAAGCAGAAGGCTGACCAGGAGCTGGTGTTCCTCAAGGGCCACCAGGTAGCGCTGCAAGCTCGGTCATCAAGTCGAAGGCGTTCGCTGTTGCTGGTCCCATATCCTCGACGCAGTCCAGAGGGGTGACCCTTGGCTCGGGCGAGTCGCTGGACTTGCTGGGGTTCGTGGCGGAGCTGCTGGGCGGGCTGGGCACGCCGTCGCACCTCGCGGCGATCGAGAAGCCCGTCAACGACTTCACCCAGTTGCTCAGCGAGCAGCGCCAGGCCGTCCAGGACAAGGTCAAGCAGGAGACCGAAAAGAGAGAGGCCAGAGCTGCGGAGGCGGACGCTCCAGCTGCTGCGGCTCTTGCTTCTCCCACTGAGTCTGTTGCTGCGAACATCCCTGTCGCTGAGCGTGATTGGGGCGACCCAAACCTCCAGGATAACGTTCGCGCAGCAGGACTCGATCCCGAAAAGGCCGAGGCTCGCGAGAAGGTCAACCGACTGCAGTCCTCCCTGCTGCTGCCCATCAAAAAGGGCAGCTGCGACGCGGGCGACCTAAACGTCCTCGCCGTGCACGTGACTGCCCGGTCTAGGGCCCAAGACCTCCCTGCGTGATACGCGGAGGAAGATGCGGGCAGGTCAGTTCCCCGCGCGTGGCTCCTGCAGGAGCATCGCCTCAAGCGGGAGAAGCACGTGGCCGCAGCGCGAGGCTGGCGCCGAGCAGCAGGTGCATCCATCGAGCTCGGGAAAGCGGAGAGCACGGGCAGCGGGCTGATGGAGTCGTTGGGTGGCGCGGCGGTGGCGCCCTTTCTGCCAGCCATGAGGTGGCCAGGCGACCAGGGCAAGGAGCTGCCGTCGCATCGCTGCCAAGTGACCACGCTCGACAGAGGAATGGGGCTGCCGCTGCACGTGGCGTCGGTGTACCTCACCACCAAGGTCGGCATGGCCGAGCCCAACATCAGATGCCTTGGCGCGCTGCTCCTGCTGGTCAGGAAGCTGCCAGGGCCGTGGATCGCGGGTGGTGACTGGAACCTGGAGCCTGCCGAGCTAGTGGAGCGGGCCAGGCGTGCGCAAGCGCTAGCGGCTAACCCAGTGGAGCCCACCTGCGGGCAGAAGTCGCACGATGTCTTTGTGCTCTCAGATCCTGGCGAGCTTCGCGAAGGAGGTGCGAGCGGTGGAGGGCACGCCTATCTGCACTCATGTCCCAGTGCTCCTCCCTCAGAGGCCTTCACCGTCTGGCGATGGTCACTCACTCGGCCAGACGGCCCAGAAGGCTTCCCATTGCAGCCCCCACCGCCTGCGAGAGCTGCGCCGCGGGAAGCGCCCCCTGATGAGTGGCCGTGGGCGCCGGGAGCTCAGCCCTGGGATATTGAGCAGGCAATGCGAACCTGGTTCCAGCACGCGGAGGACTACCTCTGCCGGCTGCACGACATTTTGACCGCAGCACGGGGAGAGCCAGCTGAATCGGTGTCAAGAGAGCCCCTCTGGCTCAAGAGTGGAACCGCCAACCCAAGGCGCGCCCGTCGCTTGAGTTCAGGAGGTGGTCTGCGCTGCTGACAGCGGCGCGTCGCGCTGGTCAACTCAGGTCCATCATGATCGGCAAGGACTGGGAAGGCTACTCCCGTGTCAGTCGGTAGCTCAAGGGCGTCCAGGAGTTCCGCGTCGAGGACGGCTGGCGGCCCTCGCCGGGCCCGCTGGCCAACGTGAGCGCAGGTAAGTTCGCAGCGGTGCTGGGAGGCAAGTCCAGTCAGACCATCCACAGCATGCTGAAAGCGACAGACCAGCATGTTCAGAAGCTGCCTCGCAGGGACATGGCAATCAACCAGGACGAGTGCGTGCCTGGGCCAAGGGGGCAGCGGAGACGATGGAAGGGCGAGCGGCTTTCGCCTCTGTCCGTTCGGCTGCCCATGTCAAGGAGTCGGCGTTCGAAATGCTGGAAGAGAATGAACAGCAGCACCTTCCGCTTCCGCTGGGGGGTGACGAGGCAGCGGAGCAAGCCCCGAGGCAGTGGCAGCAGCTTTGGGCGCACGATCTGCGCGGGGGTGAAGTGCAGCCATGCTCGTGGCGAGGAGCTGAGTTCGACGCGGGGCAGCCGTCTGCGCTCGCTCTGGCCAAGCTCGAGCGGTTCGTTGACAAGTACAACGAGAAGGCAGGTCGCGGGGGGGACATGCTGCATCCTCGTCAGTTGGGTTGGGCGCCAGAGAGTACAGGCTGCGGTTCCTTGGTATATTGTAAGCTTGGGAAGCCGACCCACTGGGCAGCAGGCTTTCCTGATGCTGGTTTCGCTCTTGCCAGCGCAGCCTCCAAGAGGTGGCTCGCGCCCCATTGTCCTCAACTTCGTCTGGCTGCGGAGCTGGAGCAGGATGAGCAGCCGCTGGCGGCGGCCTGGGAGCGCCAGCTGAGCTTCTACTGGGGAGGCGTGGGCACGACTTGCGATCGCGCGGGCCGCGCGCACAACCTGCTGGCTGCCTATTGCGCGCAGCGCGACGGCATGGCGGCAGGCGCCGCAGCCCTGGCCCTCAGCAAGTACTGCGAGCACGTCTCGCACGAGGTCCTCCTGCGCGAGGCGCGGCAGACGCGCTTCCTGCCCCCGCTGCTGCGGGCGCTGCGCTGCGGCCACCGCCCGGGCAGGCGGGCGAGGTTTGCGCGGGCGCTGTCGGTGGAGATCCGCGCCAACGGCGCGATCGCAGCGGGCTGCAGCTGAGCGCCGGGGCTCGCAATGCTCATGGCCCACGCGCTGCTGGTCGAGCAGACGCAGAGGTTCCGGCTGGCGCGGGCGCAGTCTCTCTTTGATCCAACGTTGACGACCAGCTGGTGAGGCCCTTGGCACCGTCAAGCTTGTCTGCGACCAGCTCCCCCAGGCGCTCCGCTTCCTCGTCGACGGGCTCGAATCCAGGAAGCCAAAGGTCAACGGGCTGGCTGACGGGCGTTGAGGACCTGGCTCGAGAGCTCGAGAGCTGCTGGCAGGGCAAGCTGGAGCGCGCTCGCGGCATCAGGTGCCCGGGCGGGGACGACTCGCCAGGAGTCCTCCGCAACGCTGTCGAGCAAGACGCAAGGTTGTTGACGGCCATGAAGTCAGCCGATAAGGTGCACGCTCTGAAGGATGCCGGAGCTTCTGTGGCCATGATTTTTCCCAGTTCCACCACGGTCACAACTGTCTGGGGATCAGCGGCCACGGGCATTGCCGGTTTAAAGCTCAAGGGTTCAAGGATCGCTGCCTTGAAGTCCGAGGGCAGGCTTCCAGCGGGGGCCAACGTGGGCCCCGGGCTCAAGAATATGTTCCGAGGGTTTCGGAGGGACCCGCTCCCAGTGCACGCAGGTGAAGTAGTTCAGGCCTGGGATCTCTGCCCGGAGACTTCTTTGCCGTCGGCCGGGGCACTGGGGGCCGCCCTGGAACGTCATCGGGATATCCTGGGCAAGAAGCCTCATTGGGCAAGCCCCGCGCAAGCGCAAGCGCTGCTGCTTGCACTCGCGAAAGTCGGGGGTAGGATGATCTCTGTCTCGAAATTCGCAGGCTCTGCAGGAGACGAGATACGCCATGTTTCTCGCCGGGCAGAGCGGTGGCAGTCGCTGAGGGGGCGGCGCCCGCCGCGTCTGACATTCTCGCGACGAAGCGCCATCGTAGCTGGGCTTCCGAGCTCCACTGGGCCCCCCTAGGCAAGGTCCTGCGTGGGAAGGCGGAGGTGGGGCTCGCTAGGCACGAGCTCCATCTCGCTAGGAGTTTGGTCTCGGGCGCGCACTGGCCTCGGGCGAGGCTGGCGAAGCATAATCGATCGGTGTCCGATGCGCGTCAGCTGCGCGGCTCTCGGGGCACTCTGTTCCATCGGGGTCTCGATTGTCCGTGCTGGGAGAATTTCAGGCGTGCGGATTTGCTGCCCTCCCTGAAGAGAGCTGCCTGGAAGGTGGCGGCCCTTGGCGAGGAAGAGGGTGGTTTGTTGTTCGAAGTGCCTTAGTCCTTCTCCAGAGCATTGTTTCGAGAGGCCCCAAGCCCCAGAAGAGAACCGGGTGCGCTTCGCGGGGGCCATGCCAGGCTGGAGATGGGGAGGGCCCATCTTCGTGGATGGGTCAGCCTTCCATACAAAATTCGGCTCGTGTAGGAGAGCAGGCTGGACCGCGGTGCAGATAGACCATGCTGGCCGCTCTGTTGACTGCATGTATGGGGCGGTGCCTCGGATGTGGGGGCCTGACCAGTGGGCCCGGGATGGGGAACACTACGCTTTCCACATGATGGTTAGGTATAGTGAACCTCCTCAGGAGGGAGATGTCGGTGTTCCGCTCACTGTGTACAATGGTTGTGCCAACTCGATATCCTGCGCCACCTCCGCGGCCATTGCCCTCGACACCACCAACGAGAGACGCCACATGTGGCAGCTGTGGTGGTTCAAAGTCGACCAGCCTGCTACGGTGCTCAAGGTCAAGGCCTATAGGTCGCTGCAGGAAGCGACCTGCTGGGATGACGGGTGACAGCCCAGAGGGAATCGTTTCGCGGACGAGCGGGCCAGGAAAGGAGCCCAGCTCTGGTCCGCGCAGGTCGAGCAGGAACTTTTTGCCGAGGGATGTGAGCGGCCCGTGGTGCACGCGGCCTGGTGGCAAGGCAGGCTCCATCGCTGGCTCCACGTTTCGGGTTTCAGTGACACGGTAGGCGTCGGAGGGAAGGCCGAACTGGTTCTTCAGTTTCATGCTTGTCCGACCAACACGGAGGAAGCGGATCTAGTGGAAGAACTGGGTCAGCGCCTGGCCCACCGCGAGAGAAGGCCTCCTAGAGGCCATGCCTGCCGTTCTGTATCTTACGGGGGAGGAGGAATCGGCTCTGGGAAAGGGCTCGGCTTGGCTCTGGTTCTGCTGTTCCTGGCTTCTCCGTTGGCTCCTCGGCTTCTCCCCCTGACCTGGCGCCCCACTTCTCGGGGCTTAGGTGGAAGGGGGACAGCCTTGGCAGTTCAACAAGCATAAATGTGGTGCAGGCTCCTATCCTTGGGGATCCTGGTGCGCTCCAGTTTTGTTTTGTATCTCGTGCGGTGCGAGTGTCCAGAGCTGCCACAGGCCATGGAAAAGGGCTGGCTGGTCAGTGTTTCGGGCCCAGGGACTGGGCTAGCCACTCAGCGCAGCAGGCTCAGACGTAGCTTGCACCCCAACTCCACCAGCACCCCTCCTCCCAAGCTCGGCAAGCTGTGTGAGCCGTCGGTTGAGATCCGAGCTTTGTGGGAAGGTAGGCCGGTCGCGTCAGAGTCCTCGGAGAATGCTGGCCCACCGGTTAGTACTGTGTATGGGCTGGAGATCCCCGAGGCCCTGGATTTTTACTGAGTCGCGCAGCTGCACGGGTTCGACGATCCGCGGAAAGCGGTCGAGTTTTGTCGTGCTGAGCGCGAGCGCAAGTCAGACTCGAGAGGGCTGCTGGCTCAGACGTGCTTAATTGAAGATTAAAGTTCGCTGGACGCGATACACCTTGGTGCAAGCCCCCCAAGGTCCGAAGTAGTAACCCGCAGTGGGCCTGTCCTGGCCGAAGTGGGTCCGCTAACGACGGTCGACCCAATGCCAGATAAGCCACGCCACCGCGACGCCGTCAATCAGAAACGCGGTCAAGCGCAATGGAACGGATCGGGCCATACATGGTGACGCGCGCGCCCGTTCAACCCTCAACGCTTCGATCGGAAACACCACCCTCGTGAGAAACTAATGCCGCCGCACATGAATGCACAATGTTCATGGGGCGGGGTGCGGGGCGACGCCAAGCATCGCTTCACGAGCGAAATCGTGCACCATGCGAGCAACGCTCGCGAAACACCGAGCCGCCTCCGATATGCTATGGCGGCGTTAGCGTTGATCTGTTTCAATGTGCCGGCCGCATCGGGCCTTGAGCCAACAGACAGAAAGCCAAAATGGCAACGTGAGGTAGGACAGAGAGGTGCAGCGGCGGAAGCGGCAACGTGCGAAACATGCAAAGAAACGCATGGCACTGAAACCCGCGGACAAAACACACGCGGCCAAACGCAGTCGCAAGGTCGCGTCGCGACAGCCTAAACCGACAGATCGCAAAACAAACGCAGCCGACGCCGAGCCACGCGCCCACCGATGCGCCCACGGCGCAAAAGCCCATGCGCCACGCCAAAACGCATTGGGCCAAGGCCCCAACGCCACCAACATAGATGTCAGTCAAGGTCGCCGTTCAGAGGCGCACAGGCATCCTTGAGCCGAATGAGCTTTGTCCTGAGGGGAGGGTCGAGGAGGAGGAGGACGGATGAGGGGGACGACGACGAGGAGGAAAAGGAGGAGGGAAGGGAAGCAAAGCGCCCCTCCACGAACCCCGTCTTCGAAGCGGCCCCCGCACCAGGCGGCGCCTCGCGAAGGACCGAGGCCGCCCTCGGCTGCGCGTCGCTCTGAGGCGCCACGGGGTCCTGCCTCATCCTCGTGCCTCCTTCATCCTCCTCCTCCTCCTTCAACCTCTGTCCTCCGCATCCCCCTCCCCGCCCTCCTCTCCCTCCTCCTGCTCCTCCCCCCCTTTCCGCAACCGCATCCCTGTCCTTGGCACCTCGGACCGTCAAAGCATGTTCGCCCTCCTCATCCTCACCATCCTCATCATCATCATCCTCATTATCCTTCCGAAGTCCAGGGCGCAACGATCCCGCTCTTCTTTACCAAACATGGCTCGCACTACTTTGCCCGGGGCCCCAAGAGAGGCGCAAACAACACGGACCGTTCTTGCTTTTCTGACAACCACAACCCCCTGTCATTCACGAGTACTTGTATTGTACTGCAGGCACAGATGCAGAAACTGGCTCGCGCAATCACTGAGCCATCTTGCCTGGCCGAGGTCGCTCCCAGCACGCGCCTCGCCCCATGGCGTGCTTCGCGCGCATCCAACCCTGGTGCACGCCCAGACCTCGACCGAAACTGAGGATCCCTTGGACCAGAGATCTGCCAGAAACCGATGGAACGCGCCGTAGCCCGAGCTGGACTGGCGAAGCTCGGCGAAGGCGGCGAGCATCATGTCGACGCTCGCCTTCACCCTGAGCGCGTCACGCGCGTCGGAGCTGATGCCCCAGCGGATGATCGCGCAGCCGTCCTTCGAGTCGGCGACGGTGATGCACACGAACCCCGACGGGATGATGAGCAGCTGCTTGTTGTCGTGCGCCGTGCAGAAACCTTTATCCGAAACGAACTGGGCCACGTCCTGTCCCGACGCCCTCGTCAAGTAGTCGCGCTTTCCTCGGAGGTCATCGCCCTGCGGAGGAAGGTCATCGAGGGGGATGCCCATGACCATCCCCGAGCCCTGGATGGGCAGCCTCGCCTCCATGACGCCGAACGGAGGGAGGTTCACATTCATGAAACAAGGCTTCATGCCCATGAACTGCGGCTTGTAGACCTTGGCCCCGAAGTCCGAGTCGAGCCGACACGGAAGCGTGGCAAACCACATGCTCTCGAAGCTCTTCGACAACAAGTTAGTGATCCGCTTGCCCTTCGCATCGTCGGCGATGGCCTGGGTGCCCCAGCTGTTCTCTTTCAAGTGGGACTGCAGTAGTTTCAAGGCCTGCTTCGTCGGCAAGCACTTCAGGATCTCCGCGACCACGTCGATCTCCTTCTGGCGGACCGTCACCACCGTCGGGGCCAGCGTCGGGGCGTGACCTGCCTTGGCCTCGAACGCCGAGCCGATGCCCTTGTTGATCCCCACCGCAGAGACCACGTTGACGAGCTCAATATACCTGGGCGGCATCTCCGCTGGCGCAACGGCCACGGCGCCCGTCGCGGCAGCAAGACGTCTACGCCCGATCGCCCCCATGGAAGCCTTCATGCTGGCCGTCTCAATGTTCAAGGTCTTCACGTCCCCCTGGAGGCCGACGAGAAATCATACATGCTGGAACTCCGCGGCAGATCAAGTGCCGTTGCGCTTCTCATGGACATAAACCACGCTGCTGGGCAACGGGCCATTATCACAATGGAAACACATAAGCCACTGATCTGTCCCAAGGCAAACCAAGCGGCACAAATCAACGGACAAGGTTCCATAAATATGATTTTCAAGCCGGCCTTCTTGCACTTCTGCAGCAACTTAGTCACCTCAGAGCTGGCCGTCTGCAACTGCTGCACCGTCGTGGCGGCAGCGCCCTGGACCCGCTGGCTCTCGACATTGCCCTTGCCCTTGGTGATCTGCGCTGTTGCCCTGTCGAGAAGCTCCTGGATCGTCTGCTTGAGAGCGTCGCGGGCTTCACCCTGCTCATCGCCCTGCAACTGATTATCCTACGCGGGGGTGTCGGGGCCATTTCGCAAGTCAAGGGGCGACGAATGCGCGCCCCCCTACCGCGAGACTTCGGACCCTTATTTTCACCCTTTCTTTCCTTACCATTGCCTTTCTCGCCACTTCGCTGCGGGCTGACTCGGTGCGTCGGGGCGCGCCGACACGGTGACGTTCGGCGCCGCAAAGGCCATGCTATAGGCCAGAGCGGCGCCGCGCGGACCACATAGGCGACGCGGGCCGACGCGTCGAGAAAGGCATTGGTAAGGAAATTAAGGGTGATAGTAAGGGCGCGAGCCCTCGCATGACGGGCGCGAGACGATTCGCATGCGAGAACCATGCAATGTCTGCCCTCCTGGCCAACCTCAGAGAACCTCCAGGCCCCGAGGAAGCATCCAGAGAAAGGGAGAAGTAAGGAAATTAAAGGTCAAGTTAAGGTTTTCGCCTCGCTGACATGGCCACCTGAGACAACGCAACATACCCATGCGAATCGCAAGGGTCCGCGACACGCGAAGGGGGGGTGAGTCGTTCGGGCCCCTCGGCGGCATGCCACCGCCGAGGGGCCCGAACGACTCACTCCCCCTTCCCCCCTATCGCCATATGACCCCCCGCCCAGGTGCAAGGGTCCGCGGAGCTGCTGGCCGCCACGGACGCCTCGGCCTCCTGCGCCTTGATCTTGCAATCCTCTAAGATCTTGTTCAAGTCGAGGAGCTCGGCCTCGACGTGCGCGTTGAACCTGATCTTCCCGATGGCCATCTTCTAAGCGCCACCCTCGGCCACGGCGCCCCCGTCCCCATCGCCAGCAGCAGCGGCCTGGACGCCGCCAACAGCCATGATGTCCTCGTTCTCAGGGTGGGATCGGCGCGCGTCGATGCGCTGCTGGGTGGACGCCTGCTCGGATACAGCAAAGACTGCAAGACGTTGAAATTGGCCCAAAAACGGCCTGTATTTCAATGGCGGTTTGGGTGGCAAACAGGCGCCTTGAAATCCCAGCCCTTTTTTGGGTCAATTTCGCGGTCTTGCAATCCCCGCAATGCTTAGCATGTTGTCAGGTGCTGTCACCATAGAGGATGCGGCGGACAAGAAAGAGAAGGAGGAAGAGGATGAGGAGGATGAGGAGGAGGAGAAGGGGGAGGGGGAAGAGGAGGGCGAAGCATTGCCCGCCTCACGACGGATCAGGGCCCCCACGATGTTGGCCATGGTCGGCTGCGCGGGCTGCTCGGACAAGCTCGTGGATACCACGCTCTCCGACGATACCCTGAGACTGGAGGCTGTGCGGCGTCGCCATAGATTGCAATGCCTCAGACAGCGCCACGTCGGCCCTCCGCTGCAGCTCTGCCAGTGTCTCAGGATCGCGCACGCTCGCCATGCGGCCGGTGCGAGCGATCTGCAGGCGCTCGTCCACGCGCTCCATCATCACGCCCTCCCAGATGCTGCAGCACCACTCGTTCCGCCTGAAGATGCACGTGACCCCTGGGTTCCTGAGCGCCTCGTCCCACATGGCCACAATCTCATCACGGTTCTTGTGGGGACTCAGCCTCTCCAAAAACATCCACCACGGCATGTAGTGGTCAAGGTCGCGCTCTCTCGTGCCGACGGCTTTCGTAGTCTCCTCGGCGTGCTGTAGTTCGTCGAAAGATCGCTTCGCATTGCTCGGGATCGCCTGCTGCTTCCTGTACCACTCGACCCGCTTATCCTCAGATAGATTCTTCCACCAATTCCGAAGAGCTGTGCTGGTGCGGCAGCGAGTGCTGATGGACACGTAACTGGCCGCGTCGCGCTTGCACTCGCCATCCTTGGTGGCGGACTTGTCAGACAGAGGCTTCTGAAGCTTGCACTTCCTGCAGATGAAGGTCTGCTGAGCGCCCGCGTGGCCAACCCCCACAACGCCAGGCGCCGCACAGACCTGGAGGCAAGGGAGATCGATCGGGCATTCGAACCCAGAAAATCCAATACCCGATCGGCCCGCATGAGAAACACATTACATGTGAAAAGGTGTAGAGGGCCAAGACCTCGCTCGCCGCAGCAGCAGCTGCGCGGAGACCACCTGGCCGAGGTACAGCAGGACCAAGACCGCCAGCGGGAACAATCTGCTGTTCCGAAGCATGTCCGAGGGAAGTGCGAACCCCAGAGACGGGAGTCGAAGGTGCAGGGTTGACGAGCGCGGGCGTCTGGGTTCCGCCAGCAAGGCCTGAGTCTGATGATACTGAAAGAGCACTGCTAGCCATTAAAGGCGCCCCCTGCTCACGGGACCTGGCATTCATGATATGGTTCGCCATCCGTCCCTGGAGGTATGGGCGGGCCTGCTCTGCTTGATTCGGAGAACCGCGGCCACTCGCTGCAGGAGCGACCGAACCCCTGGGGAGCGAGCCTTCGGCGAGGGCCTCCATAGCTGCAAGATGCGCGAAGCGCACGCCGAGAATCGTGGACAACCCTGCCACCCGAATGATGTACATGAGCCAAAACGGCTACATAATCATCATCACATCCATCTCTTACATCCTCTCCTTCCTACCCTTCCTCCCCCGTGGTGCCCCCCTGCAGTGGCGCTGTGCCCTTCCTTTAACCCTTAAGCCGCCCCCCTCCCGCATGAACTCCTGTCGGCTGTCTGGCGTGCCCGCGGACCAGTCGACCCTAAAGCCTAACGCCCCAGATAACCCAAGTCTGACCTGACAGCTCAGCAGCAACGCAATGCAACTCAATTCCCAAAAATAAGTACACGGTTGGATGCGCAACCGCAGCGAATCTCTGATATCACAGCTTGCGTCTGACAAAGATCCCGAGGCGAACCCAACGCCAAACTGAGAAACCGAAGTCGCGGAAACCTCGCGCAAGCATTGGTTTGGCCCTATTAGGCCCTCGGGGCAGCACCAGGGACCCCGCTAACAAACTAACATACCTACGCAGGGGACGAGGCAACCTGTTTAAGTAACTCGAAGGATCAGCTCTCTCTCTCTCTCTCTCTCACGGAGCTGACAGCGAATCCACGTTGCATCATGTAAGTGGGGAAGCAGAAAGATGGGAGCTGCAGCCCAAACGACCGGTGGATGGAGAGGGAGAGCATAAAAGTCTCAGGTGGGACTTCTTCCCCTCTGGCGCACCAGAGAGCATCGCACGGAGAGTATGCGCACACGGACGGCAAGTGCACGCAGACGACGTCCACGAACAAGTAGCTGAGGGCGAAGGCACCGATGTCGCCACGGCCTCAAAAATTCTCAAACGTTGCGGTCTGCAAAGCATGCTCGACCTCGGCATCGGTCGGCCAATACTGTAAGTGGTCGTGTCGAGTGATCCCTGTGTTGCCGAGGCCGTGCAGGTGCCATAGCATGAGAGCCGTCACAAGCCAATCCCTGTTGTGCGAAACTTGGCGTATCTTGCCGCATCCATGGGTGGGGCAGTTGCGCCAGGCTCGACGACGACCGTTCCTGCCTGCAAAATTATCGAACCACACCTTGGTCCTGTGGCCGTTGAGCGCAACCCAGCATCGCCTCCATTCGGTCTCCCACCAAGGGACATTGAGCTCGCGCTCTTGTCGGACAGCTGGTGCGATGATGCCAGCGCATGCGCTGCCATCCTGCAGCGCCCTAGGGCGGCGCCTCGGGGGATTGCAGTCGGCCCCGTCCGCATCGAGGTCGCTCGCCTCGCTGTCGGTGACGTCGGGGGCATCCTTGAGCAAAGCTTTGAATGCATCTTCAGTGTCCTCCACTGCCAGCCGCTCCATCATCGCTCGGAGGGCGTCGCCATCGAGGCGCAGCAAACATTTGCAATAGTTGCTGCCCCTTCGCCGACAGATCTCCGCCACGCCCTTCGAGAAGATGGCATCGCAACTGCGGAGCGCGACGCAGTGCGACACAGGCCTGGAGAACTCCTCCACGTGCTCACGGGGGCCGCCTGGGCCCACGGCAGCCCGCGCGGCGCTCGGTACCCAACCGCCCTCGCGCAGCCGCACCACGCGGCACAGCTTCGGCAGCGACATGAGCGGGCGGCGAGGCAGCTCGCACCGCCAAAGTGGGAGAGGGCGCGTCAAGTACACGTGAGTGGTCTGGCGAATGCAATCCAGGTTGATGGAGTAACGGGACTCATGGAACACGTCTTCGGTCCTCTGGACAACCCCGCAGCCCTCCAACAAACGCAGAGCCTCGAAATCACAGCGATCGAGCGCCATCGGGTCCACGGACTGCGAAGCGGCCCCAAACGCATGCAAGTCATTCAACAGACGCTTGCACCTCGCATGCGCCCCACTATCTGCAAACGGCACGACCCTACTGGATGGGGCTGCTGCTGGAGGCCGCTCAGACGCTATCGGAGGGGCAACACCGAGATGCAAGCAAAAACATTATCTAGCATAGTCACTACGACCTCCTCCTTGCATGGGGCCCACGCGCACAAAGACCTCAACACGACGTCCACCCTCGACGCGATGGCAGCGCAATCCAACAGAACCTAGTGTCCAATGTTGTTTGGAGGAAGAAGCGGGGAAGGGGGACTATGAGAATAGCAGGCGTGGGAAAAGAAAGACGTCACGAAAAAGAGGCGACCTGGTGAGCAACGGAATCCGAGTCGACCACGCGCATGCCCTCGTCGGTGCCGGCGACATCGCAGCGGAGGACGGCAACGTTGGACCTGGTGTGGAACACGTGTGGGACGTACATGTGTTGTCGAGCCACTGGGCGCACGTTGACCACCTTGAAGAAGACGACGTTGCACCAATCAGATACGAATGACTGGGCATCAAATTCACCAACCTCGCCGTGCGCCATGTCCAGAATATGGTGGGACACGTCCTGGTCGACAAACTCTACGATCTCCACGCCTGGCGAAGCCATGGCATTGTAAAGTTCCACGGGGAGACTGTAGTACCCGTGCTGGCAGAACAGGCCCTTGATGAATTGGACCGCATGTTTGATCTCAGGTGTCGGGTTACCATAAGCAATGGGCAACCTCATCTTCATGGAGTCTATGCCATCCTTCCATATCTGCCAGCTGTCTCTCTGGGGGTCCATGTTCTGGTACTTCGAGCCGATATCGCACATGTAGATAGCATGGAGCTTTTCCCGATTTGACATCCCATCAAGCTCGGATGTAGTGAACCTGTTCTGCAGGGCGCAATCGAACAGCTTGAGCTTCCTGTAGTTCATGCAACAGAACGAATGGAACGCCTCTGAGGACTGCAGCGACGCTATGTGCGTGGGCTCGCGCAGACGAGCACACACCGTCGGCGCATGCACGCACGTCATTGTGCGCCCCAAAGAGCTGATTCTAGCGTGCATGCTCTCCACGTTCCTCTCCGCCAGCGGCACCAGAGCGTAAGAAAGGATGGCGGCGCACGCCATTGGACAATCATTCAAGCGCTGATCCTCGCGATCGTTCAACTCCCGAAGCTCCCTTCCACATGGGCCCTCGGGCCCCAACAATCGATGAGATATTCTCCCTAAGGGGCGCCCAGCAGCAACGGCCTGATCATACTCGTCGATGATCTGTCGCAGCGGTCGCCCCCTATGACATGTCAGTCGGATCGCTCCTCAACGCGCCCCAGAGTACGCCAGCGACAAGCCAAGGGATACGCCTCCAAAACTGCATCTTCTGTCGCACGATCTCAATCAACATGCCTGACAGTTCCTTCACCCACTTCAGGATCTCCGCATTGCGAGCTAAATCAACACGGCTTACAATGGCATCCAAATCTTTAGAAACGGGGCTCGCCAGGTCGGACAGCATTTGATCCAGCCCAACGGCAACCCACCAAGCGGCCTGGCGGCCTTTCCAGACACAGTGCTTAAAGCCAGTCAGTCTCCCAAGATCGCTCAACTGTCTGGAGTGTTTTCGCTTGCGCTTCCAAACCCAAGAATGACATTCACACCCTTCCAGTCGGCTAGCATATTTCTCGACGATGGCGGCGAACAGCCTGAACATCTCCGCGACTGCAGCGAACGCCCAACGATCACCCACGACGCGTGCCACCTCATCCAATATCTGCCGATCAAGTCTCCCCGTCTCGCTGGCCGCCATCACTGCTGCGTTAAAGTTGTCGCAAACATCACGCCATGCTGCCATGACAGCAATAATCGCAGGGCCCATGAATTCCCAGCGCCAGTCAATATGGTGGTTTACAAAGTGATTGAACTTCCCAGCGCAAGCCCGACCGATACAATAATGCTTCTGGAACTTTTCACGCATGCCACCATCACCCAAAAACTTGCGCATCGTCGCCAGGTTACTGAACAACTCGGTCGCGACGCTGACCTGCTTACATGCCTCCTCCAACGCGTTGAACAATAAGTGAAGGTGCCCAGTCACGAACAACACAAACGGCCACAACCAACTCCTGGGATCAAGCGCAGCATATTTCCCATCCAAGACAGGCACTATGTTTGCTGCTTGCTCGTGGATCTTTGCCTCAGCCCCCTGATCAGTTGTAATGCCGAAGACCTCGCACCGACGTTCTTCGAAATCGGACTCGCGCTCGCACTCCATGAGAAACCTGCTCGTGACATTAAACGTTTTCTTTAAAGCGGCGGAGTGCCCCTCGCCAGTTGTCGAAAGCGGGCAGACTCTGGATTCGAAGCCTTCGTTCAGGTCATGCCTCACCATGAAGCCAGGACTCCCAAACTCTGATCGTGGATCACGTATGCGGTCTTCTCGGGTGCACGAGAAATGCCTACCAAGCTGCTTACTACCATCTACTAACAAGTACCTCATGAGCTTAAAATCTTTGTTTAACTCACGCTCATATAGAATCGCTAGCACATCCAAACGAATGCGAGCTTGACGCATCAACTTTGACGAAGGAAACGGAATCCTCCCATGGCGGATCTCGTTCACCAGCTGCGACCCATCCCTCCTGTAGAACATCTGGACAACCATGGCGAGCAAGTCAGATAACTTCGCAGACGGCTTGAGTTGGAATGCCAAGCTCAAGCAACAAAGGATACCGTGAGGGGCCCAGCGGTGGCCCACAGTGCCACCAAGGTGAGGCCCTGCCATCGACGCCAGATTCCTCCGAACGTCACCCAATGAGCCAGCGGCGTCGCCACGAGGCGGGGCGGCCTGCTGCACCTCCACGATGCCCACCTCGGGCGGAGCGACGGCCACGTCCACGTCGGCGGCTGCAGCGTCCTGCAGCGCGAGCGCCTCCGCCCGCGCGTCAGGGACCACCCTGCGCGACGCGCAAGTGCAAGCAGTTCGAGAAACGCGAAATGACGGTACAAAGGGCGAGGGCGAGCTCGACGATGACGGCGGAGACGACGACGAGGGGGACAGCAAGAACAGGCCGAGCGAAGACAGGAGGTCAGGCGGGAGAGGAAGGAGAGACGACCAAACAACGATTGGCCCCGAGAACCTGACGATCTTCGGGGCCACGCCGACTGCGCGAGCGAAGGTGGCGGGCGAGACGATCGTGAAAGGTTCCCCCGCAGACGCTCGAACTGCTCGCAATTGCGCGTCGTCTAGCGGCCAAGCACGCCAGCGCGCCTGGCCGCCAGGAAAGTGCGAAGTCATCGGGCCGCCGACGACGCTCTCGGCCAAGCGCAGCTGGTATTCGTAGTCGCCCTTCAAATCAGGGTACTCACTCGGGCAAGCCCACCCCTCGGCATAGATATCAAATCTCGGAACATCACGGCGCGATCCACGCGCCAATACACAGACGAATCCCCTGCGACACTGCTACATTCTGAGAGAAGCCAAGCTCCAACTGCAGTCGCCTCCTGCTTACGGACAATGAATGTTATGTGCGGTAAATGCGTGGTCGATGTTCTCTCCGGTTGAGGCGGAGATGGCGGCAGCGCGGCGCCCTCCATTGCAAAGCGCACTGGCTCGAGACATTCAAGCAAATTTACTCGGGCGCGCCGCGAATGGCGTGGGTTCGAGCCAAGATGTTCCCAGAGTTCATACAAGTCTTGGGGCAGAACAACCAGGCTCCCATCTTCGCGCCCCTGCTCTGACATGCACCCGACGCGCCTGAGCGAACGACGCAACAAAACAAACCATGTAGTCAAACCGACAAACGCAGAGCCGATGCATCTAATCAATCGCGCCCAATGGCGCCATCGATGCAAGGACGATGCGTCGCTGTCGAACCCCTTCGCGCCCGATCGCGCCGCCGATGCGATCTCGCGAAAATTTCAAGGAAACTCAAATCCGCTGCCCCGCTGAGAGGGGCAAGAAGCGCGCGCTACCTCACCTACATATATCGGGGGGCCCGCTACCCCCAAACGTATTTCCCGCGGAGCACCCGCCGTTCAGAGGGTGCGTCCGCGGATGCATGACAGTTGCCCCCACAGACCACCCAAATTCAATACCATGTAGCAGGGGGGACGGAGGACTACTAGTCCTAAGGTCCTCCTCCTCCTCCGCCACCTCCTTCGTCTCCTCCTCCTCCTCCTCCTCCTCCTCAACCTCCTCCTCCTCCTCCTCCTCCTCCTCCTCCTCCTCCTCCTCCAGACCCCTCTTGTCATCCTGCCCCAATCTCGTTCACCTCCTTCTGCCCCTGCCGCATGTTTCGTTCACTTATGATGATGATGATGATGATGATGATGATGACGATGATGATGACGATGATGATGATGATGATGATGATGATGAGGATGGTGATGATGATGATGATGATGATAATGATGCTGATGGTGCTGATGATGCTGATGATGATGTTAATGATGTTGATTATGCTGGTGATGGTGATGCCGATGATGCTGCTGATGATGGTGGTGGTGGTGATAATGATAATGGTAACGGTGTTGATGGTGATGTTGTTAAGGACGATGATTTTGAGAATGATGCTAAGGATGATGATGATGATGATGATGATGATGCTGATGATGATGATAATGACGATGCTGATGATGATGCTGACGATGATGATGATGATGCTGATGATGATGCTGATGCTGATGTTGATTATGATTATGCTGATGATGCTGATGATGCTGATGATGCTGATGATGCTGATGATGATGATGCTGATGATGATGATGCTGACGATGCTGCTGATGATGCTGATGCTGATGATGAGTATGCTGATGACGATGCTGATGATTATGCTGTTGTTGATGGTGATTATGATTAGGATTATGAATATGATTTGACTTTGATGGTGATTAATTATGATTATGGTTATGATGATGATGATGATGATGATGATGATGATGATGATGATGATGATGACGGCGACCGTCCTCCTGCCTCGTCTCCCTCCTGCTTCCCTGCAGCCCAGCGGCGCGCCCATCGGGCATTGCTGGTCGGGCGAGAGAGGGCGAGAGAGGGCCAGGGGACCAACCCAAAAGGGCCACGTCCTCCCCTACCTCCTTCTCCTCCAGACACCGCCTTCTCCCCTATCTCCTCCCCCCCTCCTCCTCCTCCTCATCATCATATCCTCCTCCTCCTCCTCCTCCTCCTCATCCTCATCATCATATCCTCATCCTCCTCCTCTCCTTCTCCAGACTCCTCTTCCTCCCCTACCTCCTCCTCCTCCTCTCCTCACGTCCTCCTGCCCCTCCTCGTCCCCCTCCTTCTTCAAGGCAGCCCAGCACGGCACCCACAGGGCGAGGCTGGCCGGGCGAGGGAGGGCACGAGAGAGGACGAAGGGGGGTCACGCTGCGGGTCGTCGTCGTTGTCGTTGTCGTCGCCGTCGCCGTCGCCGTCGCCGTCGCCGATAACGCGCTCCAAAAAAAACACGACGACTGTTTTTCGCTATTTTCGGCCCCAGGGGGGGCCCTCGCTGGGCCTCGGGACCGTCAAAAGGAACGTCGTCCGTCGTCGTAAGGTCATCGTCGTCGTGGTGCCAGCCGTGGCCTGGAACTCGACTGTTTCATGGTTGCAGCCATGCGGGCGGAAGAGAGCACAGGCTGCAGATTTGTGATGCACCCCGACGCATCGTCCCTGCCAGGTCACCGTGGACACGCCCGCGGCGCAACCCTGACTAACGCAGCATCTCCCGTCTTCCCTCACCCCACTCCCCCCTCCGTACCATCTGACTGCACTTCCCTCCCCTTTCTCTGACGCCGTTTTTATCCCTCTCGGTATCTTAATCCGTATAAATTCGCCGGCCCAACGGGCCAGAGGCGTGCTAAGATCTCCGGTAACTGGTTAACAATTCTCTAGTTCGCGCGCGCGGGGCGGCCCCTGGGGGTCCCCGGACGAAAAGTACCCCGGGCGACTCCCGGCTGATCCCCAGGCGACTCCACCAGAGCGCCCCATGAGCGCACCAACAGGGCTCCGAGACGTCCCCGAGAGCCCCAAGAAAGGCCAAGAGGCCCCCAAGAGGCCCCCAAGATGGTACACGAGGGGTCCGACATGCCACAAGATCGCTCCAAGACGCCCAAGATAGCCCCCAGACGCCCCAAGAGGCCTCCAAGAGCACTCCCAAGAGGGCCCCCGGAGGCAAAATTCATTGCTTTTCCTTAGGTTTTTGAGAGATTTTGGAGCTTCCACCTTTTCGGCTTCCCGACGCCCCAAGACGGCCCAAGAGGCCCCCAAGATCGCCCCAAGAGGGCCCAACAGGCTCCCAAGAGGGCCCCAAGATGGTCCAAGAGGGCTCGAAGACGGCCCAAGAAGCCTCCAAGACGGTCCAAGAGGGCCCCAAGAACGCCCCCAAAGGGGCCCCAGAGAGGGAACACGAAACAACATTTCGAGCCCTCGGCCCTAAGAAGCCCCCACGAGGCCCCAAGAGGCCCCGAAGAGGCCCCAAGAGGCCCCCACGAGGCCCTCAGGAGGCCCCCAAGAGTTCCCCAAACGGCCCCAGGAGGCCCCCCAAATGCCCCCCCGAGCGCCCCAAGAGTCCCCCAAGCGGCCCCAGGAACCCCCAAAGCGCCGCATTGACACCAGGCCCTCGGGCAAACGGCACACATGAGACTGTATGGGCCGGCGGAATGAGCGAAGCGATGAAATATACATATATAAGGCCCACAAGAGGTACCCAAGAAGCCCGAAGAGGCCCCCAAGAAGCTCCCAAGAGGCCTCCAATAAGCTCCCAAGAGGCCCCAACATTCATCCCTCAAGGCCCCTGAGAGCCTTCCGAAGAGACCGCGAGAAGCATCCCTGATGACTCTGACCCACGTCGGCGTCGTCGTCGTCGCCGCCGCTGTTTCCGTCGTTGTCCCCATTCATGGTCGGCGGCACTGGTCGTAGGGACTTCGCAAAATTTGTATATATAGAGAGAGAGAGACTTATATACACATGCCTATCTACCTACCTACCCGTCTACCTACCGACGTACGTGCGTACATACATACAGACAGACAAACAGAGAGACAAACAGGTAGCCATATGTATAGATATATGTGTATATATACATACCTGCATGCATACATGCACACGTAAATGTATATATATATATATATATATACATATATACACATGCATACATACACAGATACATAAACGTATACATACATAAATACATACATACATACATGCATGCATTCATACAGACATACGTGCATGTATGCAATCATACCCATTTACACACAAACATACCTACACATACACACATACATACATGCATACACACATATACATACTCCCACATACATACATGCATGCATGCATGCATGCATACATACATGCTTACATGCATAGGCACATGCATACATGTATATGCCTGCATGCATGCATGCATGCAGACACATACATGTACATTTACATGTACATTTACAGTTACACGCACCTACACATATACATACACCTATAAATATACATTATCCCTAGCGGCTACACGCTTACCCAGAGCTCAACTTAGGAGCGTGGTCGGTCGGAGTGGCGGTAGCCATCCAGAACATTCACAACTTCATTTCACTCGCACGGACGCCCGATCGCACGGGCGCTAAGTTCTGTAGCACTCCAGTCGGGAAACGTAAATTCAACAGAACAAAATCAGTTGACAAAGGCCGACATCGAGAGACTCCACTCCCCTGACGAGGAAATCAAAGAAGAAAAGTCTGCACGCATTGGCACCGACTGCGTCTGGAAAAGAAAAGGTGGGAGGATGGGGACGGACGCGGTGCGCTTGAGCATGTATGCCACGGGCGATGCAAGCATTCATTCGGGACGCTCCTCGCCTCTCGACAAAAATTATCCCTAGCGGCTACACGCTTACCCAGAGCTCAACTTAGGAGCGTGGTCGGTCGGAGTGGCGGTAGCCGTCCAGAACATTCACAACTTCATTTCACTCGCACGGACGCCCGATCGCACGGGCGCTAAGTTCTGTAGCACTCCAGTCGGGATACGTAAATTCAACAGAACAAAATCAGTTGACAAAGGCCGAGATCGAGAGACTCCACTCCCATATCTGCCCATAAGGCATCTGGCGAAGCCGGCTTCAGCATTTCCTGAGAGCCCGAAGGAGCTTGATAGGAAACTCTCTCTCCGCAACTGAAGCTTTTCCTTGCTGCTCAGGCGACAACTTATGCACTTGCCGAAGGATTCTGCCGTGCTTCGAATATCTCACCACACTCTGAGCATGGGCCCACTGGCCCCGTTTCTGGATCTGGTCAAGAGTCGCCAGGCCCATATACATGTCATGCGAAGCACCGGCATGCCGAACTCCGTGAGGAGAGATGTCCAGATCGGTGAGGCCCAGATCAAACGCGGCTTGACGAAAGAGGGCCTCATACTTGGAGAGAGTCAGATCGAACATGTAGGGAGCTGCACTGCCCATACGGTACCAAAGGCCTACCGCCTCCGCCACCCAGGATCGTTGCAGCTCTCCGATTACCACTGTCCCATCCACGACCCCAGTCTTGGTGGGCGCTGCGTGCTCGGCCTCGCCCAGGAGCAGCGCCCAGGCCCGCGCGTAGCGCCGGCCAGCCCGGGGAGCAGGCGGCAGCACCGAGGACAGGAGGAGCGACGCGGCTTCGTCCGGCCTCAGGTAGCAGTCGAACTGCAGAGCCAGGCACACGGCGGCGTCGGTCAGGCCTTTGTCCAGGAAGTAGAGGCCGATCAGGCAGACGACGCCGAAGGGGATGGGATCTCGGACTCGCTGGGGAGCCCGAGTGGTCCACCCTCGAAGCGCCCTCGCCGCCTTCGGGAAGAGGTTGGCTTTGTTCCGATCCAGGTGCGTCTCGAAGTGAATATAGCCGTAGAGAACGTTGCGGCCTTCGGCGGGACCAGACCCCTCGAAGTACAGGTCAGTGAAGTACTGCTCCATCGCCGAGTCCGTGGAGCTGAAGCTACCCAGATCGTAGTGCCTCGACTTCGCCCAGCCTTTGAACCTGCCGAGCGCGTCTGAGTAGAGCCGCTTCGTGGAGTCACGGATGGTCCCGAGCCGCAGAAAGTCGTCGCGCGCCGCCGGCGGGACCCGCGCCCTGCGCGCCACCGCCAGCCGCTCCTTCTCCTCGCCGACAGCCGCACGGCCCTGCTGCCGCTGCGGCGGCCTCAGGGCCGCCTTGATGACCCCGCGCGCCGCCGAACTCGACGGCGTGGTGCGCGAGGAAGTGCTGCCCGCGGCTCTCGGCGTCAGCCCCGCCGTGAGCCTCGCCGAATTTCGCTGCAGCACCATGCGACCGCGGCACCAGCGCCTCCAGCTCCGTGTCCCACTCGGAGGCGAGCGGCTCGGAGTCGCCGAAGGCCTGAGGAGGCGCCGCCGAGCATAGCGCGGCAGCCCACTCTCGGCAGAGGGCGGGCGAGTAGGCTCCAGCCTTGAGCCCACCCTGCAGAGGCTCATGGCGGTGTGACCCATCACATCTTCTCCCCAGGATGTCCAGACAGATGGCGTTGGTGAAGACGGTGGTCGGTTTGCGAACATTTTCTCCGAATCCACAAAGATCGAACGAGACGTATCGGGCGTCTGGCAGACTGGCAAGGACAGCAAGGGGCTCGAAGCGAAACAACTTCGAGCTGGCAGGATTCTCCAGCGACCACAGTACGCCACAGCGGTCACACCCTTTGATGACCTCAGCTGTGAAGAGCGCCATGTCGACAGACACTGCCTCCAACCGCCGCGCCCGCTCGATGTTATAAGGCGTGGAGCGGGCGACTGACCAGGCGGAGCACGCTGTCCCCAGATGTACGTACCAGAGCTTCCCACTCCGAATCCAACGCAGCACAGCTCGCTGCGTCGTTCGACGTGACAAATCATATCGGGCGGAGCGCCTGATCTCGGCGCCTGGCAGGACTCGCAGCCCCAAGCGCCTGAGAGAGGCGGTGAGCCGGCCTGAGCCTGAGAAGAGCTCGAGCGAGGCCTGGACCGCCTGGGGCGCGCCATGATGTCGAGGCGCGTTCAGGCGGCGGCCTCCCATCCGCTGAGAGGCCGCGGGCGCCCCGCCCTCAAGTCTCGTGGGTACCAGTACTCGCGGTACTCGGGGACAACGGGAGCCCTCGTCCGCGTGGTTCCTGTCCGTGCGGATGTGGCAAACCCGCCATGCCACACAGCCGGCAATCTGATAAGCCGCGGCTCGGCGGCACAGCGCATTGAGCGCCCAGCTCGACGAGCGGCCGCGGTCGAACACCACGGCGGACACGAGGTTGTCCGACAGGGTGAGCAGCCGGCGGTGGCAGCCCCGTCTGGTCCGCAAGCTACGTCGGAGACCCATGAGACAGACCCTAGCCTCCTTGACGTTGATGTGTCCCTGCTTCCAGTGCCAGAAGCCCTCCACCAACGTACGCCAGCGCCGCCTATTGTCCCAGCAGGCGCCGACCACGGGGATGGCCTCGAAGCCTTCCACCTCCTCCCGCGGCGCGGCCCCTCGGGCCGAGCGCCGCCGTCTGCATCGCTTGGGATCGGCCCCGACCTCGGCAGTGCGGGCAGCCTCGACGGCCCACTGCGCCAGGCGAGTCCGAGCCCCCAGCGGCTCCCAGGCGGTCCTCCCCACGACGTGGGGCTCACCGAACGCCTCCAGCTGCTCGGGATCGTCGCCGTCGAAGCAGACCCCGAAAGCCGCACCCAGCGCCCCCAAGGTCGGGTGTGGCGGCGGAGGCAGCGGCGGCGCGGCCTTGAACCTCCAGCGCTCCCTCCACTTGAAGTCCTCCAGCAGCTCGTCGCCTGTGCCCTTCGTCTCCATGAGAGCGTAGCCGTAGCCCGACGAGTCGCCGAGGTAGACCGACGAGTTGAACGGCGCGTCCAGCTCCACCTCGCAGGTGAAGACCAGGTTGGACATGAGCCAGAGCTCGCGCCGTACGCCTCGCCACAAGCGGCCTGACCTCTCCTTGTGAGCCGCGACGTAGGCGTAGCTCTGTGACAGGATCGACAGGAGGGGTCGGCAGAGGCCGCACATGTGAACGGCGTGGCCCAGCCAGATCTCGAGCTGCCATCCTGCCACCACACGGCGGCGAAGCAGAGCTGCAGTTGCCAGCTTGAAGCGCCAGAGGCGGGCGGACCGATGCCGCAGGCGGCGGCCTGGCCCGTCAAACTGCAGCCCGAGAGCCTCGAGATAGGGACTGCAGGGGACCTCATCGTGGAGGTCGAGGCCGAAGGCGGCACACTGCGCGCGGAAGTCCTGGTGGGCCTGCTCCGCGTCCGTGGCGCTATGCCCCAGCCCTGCGCGGTTGTCCACGTACACGGCGTGGACGGGCCGACCAGGGACCAGGCGGGGGGCTGGAGCGCGCTCTCGGAGCAAGCTACCCCACCCGTCGGCAGCCACAGCCGCCGCGCGGGAGGCCACCGCCTCGTTGCAGAAGTAGAGGGCCCACGACCATCCCATGGGCATGGCCCCCATGCAGAGGTAGAAAGACTCGTGCTTGGCCAGCTCCACGTCCACGCCCAGCTCGGGGTCGAACACCCTGGTGATGCCTAAACTCCCCTTGCTGAACGACTCGTCGATCCCGAACCAGTCGGCCACCTCGACGATGCTGAACTGGTAGAAGCCGTCGCGCACGTCGGCGCCACTCTGGTGAAAATCCAGAGCTGGAACACCCCCAGCACCAGGCAGAACACAATGAGACGCCATCTCCGCCGCCACGTCCGCGAACTCGGCCAGGTTGAGCTCCGCGAAGGACTGCGCGGTCCCCAGCTGCGTGGTGGGCGGCGGCTTGTGGCAGGCATTCGGGTATCGGGCGTCCACGACGAGGCGAATGGCCCCCTCCTTCTTGACAAAAAAGAGTTCGATGCGGCCCTTGAGACGCCTCCTAGGCACCAGGATGCCCGAGGAGAGGAGACGCTCGAACAGCTCGTGCCGGGCTCGCTTGTTGCGCCGCAGCACGGGGTCCCAGTAGGGCTTGGGCGAGGGCTCGGAGGCGAACTTGGCCTCGATCTCCTCGGCGGACAGCTCGATGCACGTCTTGTAGCGTCGGAGCCTCTGAGCTGCATGAGGTGGTAGCAGCGCTCTCGCATCCTTGGGTTCCACCACTCCCTTGGCCACTCGCAGCTTGGCTGGATCATAACTGGCAAGGTGACGTGGCTCTTGACCGTACAGGTCCTTCGTCTTGAAGAGCTCCCGGAGGGCTCTGCTTGGAGAGAGCCCGTCGGGGACCAGGCCTGCACGCCCCACCCGATCCTCGAGACTCGCCAACATCTCCCGCTGGACTGCTGCAGGAGCCGAGCTCGCCAGCGGAGATCGTCGAAAGTGCGAATTGTTAGCTTGGGCGGCCGCCAGTTGGTTGACACCAAGTACTGTATCTCTAACAAGCCTTTGCCGCGTCGTGGAGCGCCACCACCTCTGCTGCACATAGTGAGGGGCCCCACGAGGATACTGCCGAACATCAGGCACAGGAAGAGGAAAGGGTCCTCCGTGCCTCCACTCCCCGCCAGGCCACCAGTCGGCTTTGGTGGCCTGCGGGCTGTCGGGCGCCATCTAGCTCGGCAGAGGGGCCTCGGCTCCTTGGCCGCCAGCCCCCCTGCCTTTGCCCTTCGCATCACCGCCCTTTGGCCCCTTCGGGCCGCGCCTCCTCTCCCGCTCGTTCCTGGTCTCCTCCTTGTACAACCTCGACTGCTTGAGGATGTTCGCCCTCTCCTTCTGACGATCAGACACCCAGGTGCGGAACCTTGGCGCTCGTGCAGCACCGTCGGTCCCCACAGCGCCGTCAGCGATGACCCCGAGCCCACTGAAGTCGGGATCCCTGGGGTCGCGCGCCACCGCCATCTCCAGCATGACGACCCGCCTCGCGAGGAGCTCGAACGAGGCCAGGTTGCTGATGTCCACCTGGTCGGTGCTGGTGGCCACGCGCAGCATCTCCATGGCGTTCTTGTGCTCATAGGCGATGGCGCTGTTCTGGTTGACCCCCGACAGCCTGATCCACTCGGCGTGGTACGAAGTCGGGTTCCCTGCACCTTCTCGGATCGAGGCCGCCAGCTCTTTGCACACTCGCGGCCCCTCGAACCTCCACTCAGGCATGTCGCTCTCGCGCAGCATGCCGACGGCGTCCGTCCACCCGAGGTGACGTGTGCCGTCTGCTGCAGTGTGGACGCCCAAGCTCCTGATGTCCTCGGCGCCGACACGACGCTGCTCGGACCATTCTCCCAGTCGGGCACGACCAACCTTCTCGACCCCACGAGCGGTACCCTCACGGCGCACCAGCCCGCGATTGCCCAGCTCCACGAACTCGTCCCCCTCGAGGACATCGGCGGCGACGAGCGTCCCGAACGCTGGGTCCTCGAGGTCGGCATAGACCCACTCCTCAGCGTCCATGGCCTCGTCCTCGTCACCGCCGAGCACGGCCGCCTGAAGTCGAGCACGTCTCTTGTGCCCTGCGACCGCCTCTCGTCCGATCGGGTCGAAGGCGTAGAGGTCCCCAGCGATGGCATCAGGAAAAGCCTGCCCTCGCTCGAACACCTGGTGCCGTCGCTCGTCCAGATTGATCCTCTCGAGGTCGAGATCTGGAGTGAGCGTGATCCACACAGCATCTCGAACTCGTCGCAACAGGATACGATGATGCCAAGTAAAATTAGGATCATCATCGAAGCGCACGGCGACCTGGAACTCAGGAATGTCCGGGCACCGTGGCACTGCAGCCATGCCTCGATGAAGGCGTCACTGGCCCCGTCGTCGGACCTGATGTCAGCGCCAGGGTTGTCGGCGCCGCTGCCGAGGCGGCCGGCTCTGGGGCCGCGGCGGCCCGTGGCGCCGCTGAGGGCGCCGAAGCCGCTCCGCCTGGAGCGCGTCGTAGGCGAGGCGACACGGCCAGGCCGACGGCCACACCAGCCGCGAAGACCACCAGCAGCGGCCAGGCCGGCGCAGCGGCCGGCGGCTCGGGCGCCCGAGCCTCGCAAGGCACTGCCGCCTGGCCTGGCGCGCCGCACGACAGGGAGCCGCACTCCACGTGCGGGCAGACCAGCGACGGGCACGGAGGGCAAGATTGTAGGCTACTGCTGAGATGCAGGGAGAGGTGAGAGAGCTCTCGGAGGACCCCGCCGAGCTGAAGCAGGTCCATATGCGCTTGAGCATGTATGCCACGGGCGATGCAAGCATTCATTCGGGACGCTCCTCGCCTCTCTGGAAAACACATGTCACAGACAAAAATATGCATACACATACCTACATACATGCATACATACATACAGTCATGAATAATTAAATGTTTGTGTACTAATTGAATATTCCCTTGCCCTTATTCAAAAAAGACTGACCGGGCACAAGTGCGGGCCTGGCCTGGGAGACTTGGCCTCTGCAGAGCTTCTGCCGAGCCTCTGAAGCGCTTCTCCAGAGCCTCTGCAGAGCCTCTGGTAGTAGCAGTAGTAGTAGTAATAATAATAGTGGTAGTGGTAGTAGTAGTAGTAGTAGTAGTAGTAGTAGTAGTAGTAGTAGTAGTAGTAGTAGTAGTAGTAGTAGTAGTAGTAGTAGTAGCAGTAGTAGCAGTAGTAGCAGTAGTAGTAGTAGTAGTAGTAGTAGTAGTAGTAGTAGTAGTAGTAGTAGTAGTAGTAGTAGTAGTAGTAGTAGTAGTAGTAGTAGTAGTGGTAGTGGTAGTGGTAGTGGTGATGGTAGTCGAGCAGAATAGTAGTAGTCGCCGTAGTAGTAGTAGTACTGCTACGACTAGTAAGAGCAAAAGTAGTAGTAGTAGTGGTGGTAGTAGTAGTAGTAGTCGTCCCAGTAGTACTTGTACTAGTAGTAGCAGTAGTAGTAGTGGTAATGGTAGTGGTGGTGGTAGTGGTAGCGGTAGTGGTAGTGGTAGTGGTAGTGGTGGTAGTAGTAGCAGAATTAATCGTAGTAGAAACGGTAGTACTCGTAGAAGTAGTCGTAGTAGTAGTAGTAGTAGTAGTAATAGTA